GGGAAATGGTGTCCACGATAGTACATATACATAAAAAAAAAAAAAAATTTTTTGTGTCTTTTTAGCATTTAGTCTATTATGGACTTTCGGAAGGAAAAGAAAAAAATGTAAACCAAATTAATTAAATATGTAATATAGCAAATGCAACATTGGCTTCTGTGTTTCTAATGCAAAAAGAAACCCTCTCTATCTCAAAAGCAAACTCCCTTCTTTTGGATTAGCTGCATTTCCAGGCTATTTCCATAATAGAGAAAACCTCAGTTGTAAACTCAACTATAAAGAAAGCCGAGAACCAAAAGACAAGAAAATATTCTCACCTTATAACCAAGTGTAGGTGAAGGAGACCCAGGACAATCTCTTGGACAAGAGAAATAAGGAAGTGGCATTTTCTAGAAAGCCTTCACAGGACTTTTTGATGTAAAATGGTTGAATCAGAATTGGAATGGCAAGCAGGAGTTTAGAGGGCAGCGTCTTCCCAGAACCAGTTTCTGAAGGTGGGGGAGGGGACCAAAGCTACTTCTTTCCATCTAACATTTTCTGAATGTTTTCCTCAGGCAAGGTAAGTATCCCAGGCCTAAGTCTTGTCTTCCATAAAACATCTACTTCACAAAGTTGCAAGGAAAATAACATAATATTTATGAAGTACGTTGTTTTCTTATTTACAAATTACTTACAAAACTATATTGCTATTTTAAGGGAACACAGAGCAATCAAGTGGCTTATTTAAGATTATTACAACTTTATAACCCAGACATTCTTAACTTCAGAGACCGATGAACAACTAGACTAGTGACTCAACAAATGTGTTTCCTTTCTTCTCAACCAGCAATTTATTCCTAGCACATCTTTAGGAAAAAAGGAAATTGCACATTTTTTTGAGCAACCTACTATCTATGTGGCATGATACATTAGTTAATCTATCCTCATAACAGTTTTATAACGTTGTTTTAGCTTTCAATTAAGCCTAAGCTTTCCCCAGTGAAAAACCTTTGTTTTATATGCAATTGTTACATTGCTTCTCTGACATAAATCATTCCTGCCAGAGTTTGGGCCCCATGAGCCAGGTTTTCCTAAGGCCTGATTTACATCCTCAGAAAAAATGACCACCCAGGTTCCAGATCTTCATAACTAAGACTACTATGCAACAAGCAACCTTGAGGCCTGCTGTCCAGCAATGTTCTATAACATACTACCTATTGAACTACTGTATCCAAACTCCCACACAGTAATACAAAGTAAAGGGAAGTCAGTAGACATTTTGTCTGTGACTTTTCTACCCTCAATTTAGTTTACTTTATAATTGAAATCTCTGTTGTACATATCATCTGTTAAAAAAGTATTAAGTTCTAGATGTTGTATTTGAAATTCCCCAGGATACTGAAATTCTACCCCTAAATCTCTATAAAATACTAAGAAAAACCAATCAGAGTCTCACAGTGTATTTGCAAAGCACCTCATATGCACTTAAAGTCCCAGAAAAGTAGCCGTCAAAAGGAAAACCATAAAGTTATTGAACCTGAAGTTTTTATTTTCTCAGAAATGTACCGTTAGTGTATCATCGGCTGCCTTTCAGTATTTGTAACTTGATCAACCAAAATTTGGGAGATGTGCGTTTATTTATGTTTATTTCATAACAATGGGGAAAAGCAGCACAAAATGGATTTCAACTTGTATGGATTTTTGGTGATGGGGGGAGGGCATTTAAAGATATAATTCTTTTCCAGTAATCACCACTTTTAGATTCTAACTATTAACATCATTCAAATACAAGAGACATCAGGAAAGCAGCAACAGATATAGTTCTGCTTATCCAATGTCTAGACTAGAGGCAAACCCCAAATACCAAAGAAGCATCCATGTATCAAACCAGCATAATTTGAGCTATGCCTAGGGCCACTTTAAAAAAAAAAAAAAAAAAATAGCTTAGAAAGAAAGTTTAGGAGTGATAACCAGAGATCAACCCCAGTCCACAGGAACTAGAAAGAAGCCAGCAGGGTTAATTAGTTATTACCCTGTGTCACCCCCTGTAGCAGCTTCCTTCCAAAACCTCATATAAAATCCCAGAATGACCCAATTGCCCATGGGCTTACTTCTTCAAGGTCATCCTAAAATAACGTAGTGAATTATCACCAAACTCGGTGTCAGGCAAACCTTTGGCCCAAAATAGAGCCCCCTCTTCCGAATCATTACATAAATATCTTAAATGCCACCAAAACCAAACTCCCAGACTTTAATTTAGATTGAGCAGCCTAACGTGTTCAGTTTTGCAATATAAATTGAAAAGCTTAGCAAGTCTGGCAAACTCCAGTGCAAAAACAGGTGCTTTCTGTGTACTTTTAATGACAAGGTCAAATTAATTTTTGAAATTATTAAAAGAAAAAGGGAAAAGCCTTGTTCATGACACCCCTTAGGACACATAAGGAATGGGGAGAAAAGTTACTGGGGTAAAGCGGTCTTGGATAGGGTCCATGTTTGACTAAAATACTAATTCCTAATTTTCCGAAAGCCTGTAGCAATCTATGGTCTATTAGATGGCAGGAAAAGAAAATAAAAACAAAGAAGCTGATTGGGGTCACAGTTACCAGAACCATCTCAGAAACCAACCCCACCACCACCAAAAGAAACCCTGCCCCTCGGGATTCCCCCTCCCACACGCAAACACACAAAGAAAACAGCCGCACGCACAATTCCGCCACAGTCCTCACTTCCTTCAGTAGCTACAGTGGGAGCCCTGAAACTTCCCCACGGTGGTTTTCTGGTGTCGTCGGGGCTGGGTTCCTGGATTTGCGGACCGAAGCGGGGGGCAGGACGGGAAAGGACTCGGGAGGTATTCGTTGCACTAGCCGCTTTCTCCGAAAGCGAGAAAATGTACCACCACCCCCGGGCCTCTGCGGCCCTTGGATGTTCCCCCCAAACTGAGCTTCCCCCTCTGACACGCCGTGACGGCCGACACACCAAGCCAACAAATAGAAATACTCCCTAGTGAATTTGCTGGTACATAAAACGGTCGGAAGGAAAGTTCCTCTTGAAGGCTGTTCGCCAGGACGAGGGCAGCGGGAGGTGAGCCGCGTCCCTCCCCTCCTCCCTCACCTGCGCCGGAACAACGGGCCCCCGCGCCCGCCCGGCCCGGCGCCTCCCGCAGGCCGCGCCTCCCGCACGCTGCGCTGCCGGGGCTTGTTCCTCCTCATGGCTTTGCCCTGACGTAATTCAAACATGGCAACAGTTCGACTTCAAAGGCGAATCCACAGACCTCCCAGACACACACTCTCAGGCTACGGGTAACGGGCCGAGAGCTCCGGGACACGCTCTCCCGGCCCCTCAGTCTTCGCGGCAGCGGGCTCTGGGTAGAAGATGAAGCTCTGGGGGCCGCGAGGGCTCCCACTTCATCGACCGCTCGCCCGGAACAGGGAAACACGCCGCGCACCAGCATGGCACCTCACCCAAGTAGCGCAGTCAAAGTTTCCCCACGAGGACCTAAGGGACAAAAGCCCCTCCCGAAGCTCACCCGAACTACGGAGGGCCCCGACCCGAGCGGCCCCCGGCCCCAGCGGTCGCTGGGAAAGCCGGCGGGGCCCGCACGGGCACATGGAGCTCTTTGTTTTCTGTCCAGCCGGGCGCTGCCTACGTGCTGCATCAGGGATGTCGGATTGTTTCTCAGGGGCAAGACACAGGCGATCACCGCGAGAAAGGGTCCGGAACCCGCGCCTGGAGTCAACAGCCCAGTCCTCCGGTCCACTCCTTGGAAACGAACTGATTTAATCAAAGTTTTGCAATGTCCTTGATGAGAAACGCCCGAATTACCCGCCCCACATAAGCGAAGAGTTGGCGAGTTTCACTCTGCTTTTTAAACTGGCAAGACGCCATCACCAGCAAATCACATTGTCCTGCCAGCCTGACCTACCCGACAGCGACCGCATCACACTGCTTGCTAACAAGAAGCCGGACTTTCAGACAGACGTCCAACTAAAACCCAAGTCTCAACGCAAAGCACGTGGTCTGTCATGTTTAGCACAAAAAGCAGTGCCCTCGGGAGTTCACTCACTCCTTCAGCACAGACAACGCAATTGCCTCCATCCCCAAGTCAACTTAGCTGCTACTGGCCATCTTTAACCACAGACGATCGCCCTAAAAAGCCCTTCCTTCGCCATAGCGCCCACACTCCGCTACAGGTGAATAATTTGGTAACAAAACTTAAGCCACCAAAGAAACAAACATCGGACACTAAAAGCTCCATGGGCGCGGTCCGAGCAAAGCAGGCATTGCAAGCTGGGGCTGTTCTCAACCGGCCGCGTGTTATTCTCATTGTCGCATCTGCATCCCTCCAGAGTTCAGCCACGCCGCGTGCACTCAGCAAATCCCAACACTTAACCAAAAAAGCCCATTTAAAGCCCCTCACGCCCGCCATCTCGGAAGTAGATGGCAACTTAGTTTTCGGGCGATTGGCGTTTATTGTCCATCCTTATCAAAACACGCGCAAGGAGCTGCAATAAACTAAAGCACGAGGTTTAACAACGACGCCCGACCACTACCCGGGCTCGCGCCCACGCGAATGCACGAACCCGAGGCCGCTCCGCAATTGCCAGCAAGTCGTTTTTCTCTTGGGCCTTTCAGCCATGAAACTCCTTTTGGCCAGAGAACACTGCGGCTGAGAAATCATTGTCACCTTCAATGTGGATCCCTCAACTTTAGCAGCGACTCATTTATTTCCAGGCTCCACTCACTCTCCCACCCCAAGACTTTCGGTTTGCCTCAAATACCCTCCCCCAATTAAAAATGCACAGTAAAAATATGCATACAAAAGAATCTGGGGTCCGAAGAACACGAAAGCAGCGCTCCTAGCAATGCCATCTCCAAGACAAAACTTCCTGTGGTGTGAGTGTATGTTTGTGGGTAGAAAGACTGGGTGAGGTAAAAAGAGAGGAAGGAAAAAAAGAAAAAACCTGGAATGAAAGCCTCGTGAAACAGTTTTGCACCAGAGTAATTAATTGTTAATCACTCACCTTCCAAAAGCAGCCGTTTCACGCGCAAAAACGTTCCCGAGGTGCAGAGTGCACGCCAGACCAGTCTCCCCAATCCAGTCGCTCCCTCTTTCTCAAACTGCCTTGTCTAGAAAGATTGTCTCCTGCAGTTCTGCAGTTGCTACCGCTGACCGGGAAGGTGTAGATTCCGCTTTCCTTCTGCGCACGCGCGGCTCCCGGTACAAAATTCTCTTGAATCGAACTCATTTGCATGCGGGCGCGCGCGCGTCGAGGACTTGGGGAGAGGAGAAGGCCAGGAGGCCGCGCGCGCTCCCGAGGCCTCTATTGTCCTTTTAAGGGGAGAAGCGCCGCGGCGCGGGAAACTAGGCGGCCAGAGGGAGACGTGGGCGGGGACTGCTTACTACCGCCGACGTCATATAAACAAACGGCCCCTGGCTGGAGAGGAAGGATGAGGGGGAGTGGCGGAATGGGAAAGGCGGAAAGGTTAGCTACAACGAGAGAACACGACTCCGCGACGAGCTTTCCACCCAGAGGTTCTGAGGGCGCACCATTTCTCACAGAAAAAAATGTCGGAGACTATTTCAGTAAAATTGTCACAACTGTGCCTGGTTTTTGGTCTGAGATGACAGGAAGGTGGTTCTGTAAGCACCCTGGCTGAATTTATTTTTCTCCCATGTTTCCTAAATTTTGTTTTAAATTGGATTACTGAAGCTATTTTTTTAATCTTCTGAGGCCAGCAGTGATTTATTTTGCTTGCAGTTGTAATGGATTGTTTAATATAGTCTTATTTTGCCACCCTATGCATTCCTCACTCCCACCTGCCCTTCTCAAACGTTAACTCAACCCATAACAATCCTTTTTTTTTCCCCCTCCAATTGGGCCATAAGATTTTAAGCCTGTCGTAGCTGAATAGCTGTTAATTTCCGTGGGAACAGAGCCGCTTTCTCAAAAGATTAGTCAGTGAAAAGTCAGTAATCTAGGGACGTGTATACCTCCTCCAGCTGCTTGTTAAGAGTGTTCCACTCACTCAGAAATAATACCACTAACTGGTGGTCTTAAGAGTTGAAAAAGTGGCGAGGAAAGTGCGGAACTTTTCCTTGAGGAGTATGTAGTAACCGAACAACCTAAACGCTTCTAACTTCAACAACAATAATAAAAAAAAAAAAGTAACTTCTCAGATTGATAAATGGAAAATGACAAAAAATGATTTGGTACACCTTTATCCCGAGAACACACTTAAAGTCAACAGAGAGACATTGGTTTAATGATGCAGGGAGGGAGAAGAAGGAGAAAGGATGTTTATCCCAGAAATTTGATATTGGTCCCAAGCTACAAAAGTGTGAACATCAACCATAAAACTTAGTCATCTGCTGACAAGTTTCACTGCTTTCACTGTAATGTCAACAATATGGATTTAAATAGATACTTGTGAAACGCTAATTTAATTCAACAGCCAATTCCTAGTATATTCAGTACAAACCCACTTCTGAAATCTTCAACTAATGCTGCTTTTTTTTAGGTTCTTTAGCATATTATTCCTGTAATTGTATATGAAAATTATTCTTTAATACCTGTGAAGGGGGGAAATAGAAAATCCTTATACCTGTCCCTAAAATGTGAGATTTTATGTCTTATTCATGTATCCCAGTGCCTGAAACAGTGCACAACAGATAATGAATTGTTTGACAAATAATAAATCAATGGACATATTCAAATTTGTGAGTATATCTGAAGCCAAAACAGTTTTGCTTTAATATTTTTGCATTTGACCTAAAATTAGTTTGGAGGTCATAATGATCACCTTGACTGATAAAATGCCATCCCTGTCCTTATATAATTTAAAAAAAAAAAAAAAAAAAAACACTGCCATGGAGTCAATTCCGACTCATGGTGAACCTATAGGACAGAGTAGAGCTCCTCATAGAGTTTCCAAGGCTATACATCTTTAAGGAAGCAAATTACCTCATCTTTCTCTTGCAGAGTGGCCAGTGGGTTCAAACTACTGACCTTTTGGTTAGCAACGGAATGTCTTAACCACTGCACCACCATAGCTCCCTCCCTTATATAATGAGCATGAAAATGAAATGAGCTTTCATTGGTGGCACACTGGACCCTGAGCATAAGTTCCTACCTCCTTTTTAAAGAACATTTTAAAAGTTGTCCTGGGTTATCACAAATACTCACTTGGTTTATGACAGATCCTTCAAAAATGATCTCAAATTATTTTATGCCACTCAAGGTGTGAAAATTGCAAGTATCGTAATAATATTTTAAAAAACTTTATTACTCACAATAAATATAAAAGTGTACTTTGTCTTTTCTCTTGGAAGATTATGTAAAGAATTTTTTTTTGTTTCGAAGATAGAATACATTAAAATGTGCAAGCACTATAAGAATTACAGTATTTAGAAAGTATTGTTTAGATAAAAAAAAGTACCTCCAAGCTCCAGACCTACTGAACCAGGTAGCATGATTTCCTGTGCTTTCAAAGTAAAGGTCAAGAAGTAATTTGGGAAATTTTTGTAGGCAAGGTAGCAACAAAACTCTTAAAGGGAAATTTGAATTCCTTAGTCATGTTTTTATTTTTTGTTTTTTGTTTGTTTTTTAACAACCACCTGCTATTTTTGAACAACCAGGTGAATTCCAAAGGTTCTTTTGTTCATTTTGTTGCTTGAAGGTGTTGTTTTGGCTGGCCTTGTTGTTGTTGTTGTTATGTGCCCTCGAGTCTGCCCTGACTCATAGCGACCCCTCCTTGGGTTTCCGAGGCAGTATCACTACAGAAGCAGGATTGCCCAACCTTCCTTCCGAGGAGTGGCTGGTGGGTTTGAACTGCCAGCCTTCTGGTTAGCAGTCAAGTGCTTTAGCCACTATGCTACCAGATCCAGGACCAATAGCTCATTTATGGGATACTTAAGAATACTATTTCCTACTTAAACAGCCCCAGTGAGTTTTTTAACATTATTAAAAAAAAAAAAAAAAAGGAAAGAAAATAAAAATATAAAATTTGTACTATAGGAGATTGAATTACACTATTCTAGGAAAATATTTGAGTATTTTTTAATACAATAGTGCCATGCTGAACTCATGAATTCACAAAAATACTGAAATTAAAAATATAGCTATATATTTATATATATATAAAATATAGCCAGATATTCTGACTAAACCAACTATCTTGCTTATAATCTATTGTAGCTCAAAGCATGAATATTCATTTAGCAAACAGTTAATAATTATAACTATGTACTAGACACTGAAACCATTCAGCCCTGTAAAGGCTGAAGCCATCTCACCTCTCCTAATTTTTATGTAATTAATTCTATTTTAGTTGCTATTTTTCTTCTGTAGAATTTTTTGCCTTCTTTTGAGAATTGCTGTCAGCAAGTTTAAGATTTATTAAAATATTATTGTAATAGAGGAAAAAATATATCAAAGATTGACAAGGACAATTCTTGCTTGATAGTGAAGGATATTATCAGCAGTTTAGTAATGTTTGTAATGACAACTTAAACTAATGATTGTTTTTTAAATGAAGTCTGATATCTTCATCCAAGGCAACTACCACATCAAAACATCATTTGTTGAGCCCAGGAAAAAGCTGATTATTATTATTAAACATTGGGATTCATTCCTTAGAGGGTAAAAGCTATAAGATTAAATCAAGAGCTCTTTCCTCACAAGAAAGCAAGTACAGTATTTTGTTACTTATTTGTTGAAATTCTTTTTGAAGTTCAAATAAGCAAGTGGTCAAAACAAATCAGATAATTTTACACTATAAAGTATGGAATTGGTTATGTGATCTAAGATACCCCAATCCTACAACAACTGTTGACAACTGCCAGTAAAAGGTATCTATTACTTAATAAAAATTCACTTTTCAAGTTTCTGAGCTTAAAGACAAAGAATTCTCACAAGCTCATTCTTAGAAAGAGTAACCTCTGGATTTTTCACTGACTTATGACATTTGAAAGTATACTTTAAAAAGATAAAATTACAGATAATAAAAATAATTTTTATTTTAAGAATAACGTTGACAAATTAAAATGAGTTCACAGGAGAGTAAACCAAGATCATGAAAGAGGCTGGAAACCACAGCATAGAAGCAACAATTGGAGGGAGCATATTTAGCTTGAGCAAGATAGCAAGCAATCTTTGAGTATTTAAGACTGTTATTAGAAGAGTGAATGGGCTTGTTCTTTTATGCTTTGGAACAGACTTATTTTGAAAAGCACAAGAAAATAAATTCTTGTTAAATATAAAATAATTTTCTAAACATAAAAATAGTCTAAAGATGGTTCAAGATCCGCCAGAAGACAACTCCCCATCATTAATGGTATTCACACACACACACACACACACACACCCAACCAGAAAAACAAAACACACACATACACAAACACAGAAAAAGCCAAAAAGCTTTGTTCTTCAATAATTCCATTTAATGAATTATATTATTTAGGATATAAAGCTAGCTAACCTCTAAACTCCCATCAAATTCTATAAATCTATCTTTCCATGAGATAAATAAATACCTCAAGTTCAAGAGAGGGATTTATCACTGTGGCTGGAGAGGTTAAGAATGTCTTTTTGGAGAGGATGAGAGTTTACCTTGGACATGATTTCATTCATTCATTCATTCATGCAACAAATATTTATTGAGTATCTACTACATGTCAGGTTCTGACAATAAAATGATGAGCAATGCAGAAATGGTCCCTCATGGAATGTGGCAAGCAAGCATTCCAAATAACTACACAAATATAATTACAAACTGAGAAATAAAAGAAAAAATCCTGGGAGCCTAATCATGTATGACAAGGGAATTTAATCTAACTGGAGGCAAGAGAAAACATCCTTGAAGAAGTGAAGCTCAATTAGGATGATTAGATGGAGAACTGGAGAGAGGGGATTTTACTCAACCTGTGGCAACTCCAAGAGCAAGTGTTTAGAGATAGCCAAGTACTTAGGGTGGTTGAGAAAAACATGACTAGGAGAATCATATATTTGACTAAATAAAAGTCCTAAGTGAGTACTGCTTGAGGGAAAAGACGATGTTTGAGGTAAGTAAGAGGGAATGCCCAGTAGGTGGTTGGAGAATGAG